CTAAAACAAATAATTACTTTTTTTTCAACTTTGTTAATTTTTAATTACCTTTTATTTTCAATCAAGGTCATTTTTTACTCTATTATTTTATTTCTATTATTATTATTATTATTGCTGTTTTATAAAAAAATCTTCACTAAAAAAAATTAAAAAAATTATTCTTTTTATTCTTTTTATTTAACAAACATTAAACTTTTCATTAAAATGTAAATTTTTAAATTAATCATAAATGGCCAGTCAGTCACGTGTATGGCTTTAACTGATCTTCATTCATTTTTTTAAATTGTATGGTATAAACTATCACTATCATCATTATTAAAACCATGTTAATAGAACTCTTGGCACTGTTGGCTGTTGTTCCGACTGGCTTACTAGCGTTTTATATTTGGCTCCTTCAAAGTAGAAAAGGTACCCTAGAAATCACAACCACCGAATGTGCATATGATAAGAGTCGATTTGGTCACATATTGAATTGGGATAAACATTGCTTATACATTCATGGTCGTCCAACTATAATAGTCAGTGGAGAATTTCATTATTGGCGTCTGCCTGATAAGTCTCGTTGGGAAAGCATTTTGAAAAAATATTGTGCTGGTGGTTTCAATTGTATTCGTATATATTTCCATTGGGGTTTTCACAGTCCTGACGAAGGAGTTTATAAATTTGACGATAACAGAGATGTCGAATATTTGTTAAATCTATGCGAGAAATTGAATTTGTATGTTTTAGCTGCTCCTGGTCCTTATATTTGCGCAGAAACACAAGCTGGTGGATTTCCAATTTGGTTGGTGGAGAAAGCTGATAAATTGCGTCATGTAAAATTTACCACATTTAAACAATATGATGAAAACTTTTCAGAGTATCAGCGTGAATGGTTTGAAAATATTTTACCTATACTGGCAAAACACCAAATAACTGAAAAATCAAATGGTTGTATTATAGCTTTACAAGTCGAGAATGAGTTGTTCGAGTTGGTTAAAATTATTCCATTTGGTTTACATGACGAACTTCGGTTCTTATGTAAAGTGGCAAGAAATTGTGGTATAAGTGTACCATTGTTTACAAATGATGGTGATGAATCTGGTTCTTTTATTGCCAAACCTGAACTTGATGCTAAGCCTTCAACTCATTTTTTTAATCGAAGGACTTTTGGTTTAGATCTTTATGGTTTTGATAAATATATTGGTATTTAATTATCATAGTATTCTTTTGGAGGGTTTTTATAAAAAAAAAAATGAATAATTAATTAAGTATTTGAACGATCGATCGATTGATTGATTATTATTATAGTATTTGTGCCACCAAGCGCGCCTGTACCTTGGACATTTTATGATGAACAGGATCCAAGTAAATGGAAACAATGGGATCCTAAGGATTTTATGAATTCAATTGATAAACTTGAAAAAACAATTCGAGGCTTTGGCTATGATGCTAGTAAGGTATTATTCTATCATATAATAATAATAATTATTATTATTATTATTATTAATATGAACTAAAATTTATTATCAACTACCACCACCATCATCACCGTTATAATTTAAAGTCACCAATATTCATTCCAGAACTTCAAGGTGGTTGGTTTACAAGTTATAAATTAAAACATACATTTGATGATGTCTATAATTTTTATGGTGATTTTTTTACAAGACTTGTATATGAATCCGTCCTTGCGCAAGGATCTACTTGCATGTAATTTTGCTTTGAAAAAAATTAAATGTCATGTCATCAATAAACACAAATACGAATTCCAAGTTTAATTTTAACACTGACTGCTTAAAACTTACTCCCGAAAAATTAGTAGAGTGGAGTAACAAATCAAATCAAACAACTGATAACGATTCTTCTTTATTACAACCTTTTAAAAAGAAAATATTAACCAATGAACCACGACACTTGTCCATAAAAAAAGGTCATAAAACACCCCAAAATTCAAAAATCGATTCTGATAGCGATTCTGATGACCATGATCATGATACATTTAGTAACGATGTTATAAATGCCAGTAATGAAGAAAAATCTAATTCAGAAATGATAAATAACCAAATCGATAGTGGTCCAGATGTTCTTTCAAACAATGATGATATATTTGAAGGATTTGGTAATGAACTCAATAATGGCGACAGCGGTGGTGATAATGGATCAGAGATTCAAATGTTTCACGGCGATGATGATTCTAGCGATTTGAACCATTATTTTCTTGAAGAGTCAAATGGTCCAAATAGCAATAATACGATGATGGAAATCGATGATTATGATTATCATAATGATTATTCAATTGAAAATTTGTCAAATGAATTCGATGTCGATAACGAAGAAGATTCTGCTACTACTGCAACATTTAATTTGGTTGGAAATGGAGAAACAATTGATGATGATGATGAAACTATATTAAATATACAACAAGATAATGTTGATGATAATCAAGCCCATTCGAATAATATTGCTTCCGGGAAATCAGAAGAGATGAAAGTGAGATCAAAACATGATAATCAACATGATAAGCATGATCGTAATAAACATGATAACGATTATGTTAATAATTTTATAAACAATAGCAACAATAGTAATACAAATATATACAATATCAATAATAATGAATTCTCATCATCACCATCACTATCACCACCACCATCACTATCGTCATCGCCATCATCATTTTTATCATCATCACCATTATCATTTAATGAAATCAAGGTAAGCAAAAAATAATTGTTTACAATAAACTATGTGCCTTATTAACATTAAATTTTTTTAAAATATGTAAAGAATATCTTAAGGAACATTGAAAAATGTAAGTGCATCATACAATATGTGTGTGTAAAGATACAATATCTATAAATTTATCATTGTTTTATATAGCTACTCAAAAAATTCAAAATCAACAATTTAAGTCAAATCAAGAAATTCATTATATTGAACGATCTTTAGAATCTTTTGAGAACGAACTAAATTCTACATATGGTGATTAAATGACAAGTTAAATTAATTTTGTTATTTTTAGTTTTTTTATTAATGGAATTTTTTATTTTTGTCTATGAATAATAGAGAAACTATGTAATTTAAAGTGTGATTTCTTAAATACATTGAATATAAACACCTTTGAAGATATAAAACAAATGCATTTAAATGATGATGATTTGGCGAAGGAAATGAAAGAAAGTATTTAATAATGTAAAAATATTTATTGACAAAGTGAACAAATAAATAATATTTATTTCGATAGCCTCCATAATATCAGCAGAATAATCAATCCAAAAACATAAAATACATAGACTCCTTTTGCTTTTCACTTACCAAATAATGATTTTTTAACGTTCTGAGCTAAAGATTTTCTTGATTGTTGGAACTTTGTCGTTTCAGAAAATTTAATTTCTGTAGCGTTACGAACATATTTAATAGTTTGCCCTTTCTCATTGCTCCACTACTTCTAGACCTGACGGAACAAATTGCTTTGTAGGATTACCTTCCACAACTATCAAGTTACAACCCGTGTCTCCTTTTCCCGCATTTACAACATTATTTAGCTTGAAACATTGATCATATCTATTTTTACACCTTCAGTACCTGGGCTTGAGATAAAGTCAGGGTTTTAATCGTCACCAAATACATAATCAATTAACTTCAAATAACTAAGTAATGATTCTCTAATAAAACTATCTCTTCATAATCACTTTTTTAATGATCTCGTTTGTTTCTTTCTTCTCATTTTTAAAAGAATTTTAGTGCATAACAATAATATTATAAATTATCAAAATTAAACTGGTGGTGATCGAAAATTTTTCCAATATTTAGCACACAACGATATGAAAGATGGTGATAAAACTATTAGATATGACAATATCACGTTTTACCTCCAATCAATTTATTTATCCTCAAAAATTATACTGACTTCCGAACCTCGAAGGATGCGATATAGTGGAAAATTCAATTATTAAAATTGCTTGCCTTTGGTATTAGGTTCTTTCCCTCTGTGTAATATTAAACTCAAAACTTCTGAAATTATTATACAGATAGTGATTGCCAAATACATCCATATTGGTCAGCTATCAGACATCATTCTAATGATAAGTTACTATGCAGAATATATAATCCATTAATTACAAAGAATTGATTAAAAAGTTAAGAACATTTATTTATTTGCCTAATAAAATGATGACCATTTTCAACAACAAAAACAACACTACAACAGATGAAAGAACTTTTTGAAGCTCTTTTATGATCGCAGAGTTTTCGTCCTAAAGGATAGCGAAGAAGGTATCTGTCTGTATATGAATGGGTTCCATTAAACCTCACGCGAAAGTTGTTTATTTTATCGGAAGTGATTTGATGGAGATCAATGAATTACTTTCTTAAAACTTCATCTTTGTATGTATGGTCTTGACTATACATGAAACCAGAATTAAATTCCCAAGCAGAAATATTTCGACTTGAGACAATTACATAGTAAAAATCAATTCCGGTTTCATGCATATTCTTAGCATTGCATATTATTAATTGGGTGATGCAATTTATTTTAATTGATAAATTTAAAAATACAAATAATAAAAAGAAATAAATGTTATTTAACAACAATATCAACAAGATCTATGTTATGAAACAACAGATTCAACAATTGATTTAAAAAAAACAGTCAAAATAATCAAAAAATTTGTAATATGGTGCGCGAAGTCTATAACCACCACTTAATGCGTCATACGGCCAAATTTCACCAAAAAACTCAAAAAAAATCATTAAAAAAACGATTAATAAAAAATTTATAAAGTCGTGTGATTTTTAAAATATCTTAACATTGCTTGGACTTTTTCTATGAGATTTGTATCTCTTTACTGCATATAAAGCTTCTATACCTGCCAATCCATTTCTGTAAGCATCCATAAATATCCAAGACCTGTGAGCAAATTTTCGAATTTTTTTGAGAGAAGCAGAATGGAACAGTTTTTTCTAATGACTTAAAAGGTATAATCACAGTTTTCATGTGTATATTATTTTGCTGCACCCCAAATAATTCAATAAAATTAAGTTCACAGTGGAACTTGGGGTAAAATATGACTTTATTACCATAAGATTTGATAGTTTCTTCAATTAAAGATTTTTGATTAACAAAGTCAGGTTGGAGTTAAATATTTTTGACGCAGTGATTTTTTACAGCTACACAATACCAAATTTAGAAATGATAATCGTAAATTATTATCTTGAACATAGTAAAATACGTGTACTAAAAATGAATAGAACTCGATAACCAATCAATACTTTGAAAAAATTCTCTGTTATGATAAAGTTTGAGTCCCAATTATGCAATACAGAGTTGTTTTTAAAAAGGATCGACATAAATGGACTTCTATTCTTTCAAAAATCACGTGCAAAATGGTGGTTATAGACTTCGCGCACCATAGAAAAATCAATAAAAAATATTTAGAGAGAATTTTTTGAAAAATTTAGTTGCTAAACGATTTATTACGAATCATCTATCGTCATAGTAACAAAAAATAGAAGAAAAAAATATCATTGTATATAAACATCACTACAAACTAATAAAATATTATTCTATTCTCTCTCTTATATTCATTCGCCTTCCATCGCTTATAATATATAATAACAATAAAACCTAATTAATCTAATTAATTAATCAAATAAAAATTGATAACTATTATTTTTTTTTTTTAACATAATTTTTTTTGATATATAGAAATAAAAACGATATTCATAATTTTTTTTCGTTTACGATTGCGTGGCCTTTTTTTTAGAACTTGGCTTGTTCAACAATGTTTTATGAATGTGCTATATTAATTTAAAATTAAATTAAGTTGGCGATTAGTTATAATTGCAATTAATAAAAAATCGAATCAAGACATATATAATATAGTTATTATATAGAAAGATATTTACCGGTAGTACACCACCGCCTGCAATTGTGGCTTTAATAAGCGTGTCCAGTTCTTCGTCGCCACGAATAGCAAGTTGTAAATGTCTTGGTGTAATACGCTTTACCTTCAAGTCTTTAGATGCATTTCCTGCTAATTCAAGGACTTCGGCTGTAAGATATTCTAAGATTGCGGCAGAATATACAGCGGCTTTTGCTCCTACTCTTGCATTATTTAAAGTTTTTTGCTTTAAATATCGGTGAATGCGTCCTACTGGAAACTAGATTTTTAAATAAATAAATATTAGGTTTGGGATTAAGTTAGATAATTTTTATTAATTCTAAATTAATAGGTTAAGATCAACAAATTTAAATGTATATTATTTTTAATTTCCAATTATAAAAAATCTCGACCGAGTAATGTAATTAAGGTTTTTTTCCATGTTACCTGTAAACCAGCTCTCTGTGATCTAGATAGGACAGGGAGTTTTTCTTTCTGATGACTAGGATCGCCATTAGCATTTTCTTGTGGTGGTGGTGCAGATGTGTTATTAGGTACTTGTTTATCGGTAGTAGCCTAAATTTTTAAAGAAAAATTATTATATAAATAAAATATATATCATTTCGTTACCATCCGAGTTTGTTGATGATAATAAATTAATGGTTAAAAAAATATATTATTTGACTGATTTGTGAAAAAATTTAAGTTAACGCGATTATAAAGAATTTTTAAAAATCGTAAATTTTGACTATTATTATTATGAACGTGTGATATTTATAAATTCGTTTTTCATATATTTAATATCACTTATTTATTAAATTAAAAACTATAAATCTTTTTTTACGGCTAACTTTTTTTTCCTCATTCAAAAATAAAAAAAATTTCTTACCATTTTTTTTCGAAAAATACTCTTGAAATAAAAACTATATTGTAATTATAATTGTCTAGTTTTTTTTTAGAAAGGTTTTTATTAAGAATATATATTTTTTTATTTTTTGTTGGAATTATTTATTTAATTTATATTTTATATTTTACATATTTAATATCTATTTCAAAATATATATTTACATGTTTTATTTTCCCTTATTCAAAAAATAAATTATAAATAAATAATTA